AATTAGGAGGTAGATTAGGAGTAGCATAGTCTCCTTTATTCTCCTATTGACCTCTTATTTGAGACAAGATTGACCTAGGAGAGTAAGGATTTCTTTTGTCTCATTACTATTATCTATAGGTATAATCTAAACTCTAGCTATATCATGTGCTCTCTCCCTTATAAAACCATTTCTTAGTGATTGAAAGATCAACATGGTGAGGTTCTACCCCTCTTGTTTTCTTGAGTTAACTTTCTTCCACTCTTCTCATCTATTTCTTCTTTAAACTCAACTATAAAAATCTTAAAAAGAATCACAGAATTACTAATAAGTCATCATTATCATGAGTTAATAATTAGTTAATAATATATTTTAAGCCTTAACTCATAATAGATAGATTTACATTTATGTTAAATTGTGAAAAGTAGTTTTTAGTTAGTTAATGTGAATATTTGGCTAATTATGTGAATTTATATAAACTTTATTATCATATTTTTAGATAAATAAAATAAAAAATAAAATAATATAGAAAAAGAAAGGAACCTGCCAGCCAACTAAGCCCACATGTGGGTAGAGAGCACGGTCAAGTAGAATTACAAATAAAGGACTCGAGTGGCTAAAGACTGATAAAGGGCACAAGTACGTCACTCCCCTTTCACCTCACTAGTGGCTAGTTGAGCATGGGACAAAGAGTGGTCGTACATAAGTGAGAAGACTATCTTGATGATATAATAAGGTATTATTATATATTTATCTCAAAACTCATAAAAGAGTTTGAATCTTGATAGAACCAAAATTCATATTTTTATCTCATTAAGTTGTGATTTTTTTATAGAGAGTGAGTCAACAATTAAACTATCAGAATCACTCAATCATCAACGAAAATATCATCAACAAGATTTTTAGAGCATCGTTACTTCTACATAAAAAGATTGTGAATTCATCAAAGAAATAATCACTAATTGATTGATGAACAAGCCATTATTGGGAAGAGAACGATCTACCACGAGAGGAGTCATCCCCTTTAGTACATATTAGATGTGATAAAGAGCCACTTTTTACCATGCAAACTTAAAGATGAAGCACCTTAAGATATGTCCCACCTCTATCTGGCTTATCTCCATTGGGTGACAAGCACTAGAGATTTGAAAGTCATCATATTTTTACTCCATTAGATGACAACCACTAAAGACAATTCATCGACCTATGTTATCAATTTCTAGACTATTTGAGAGATGATCTAGATATTACCCACATTGTCCATGATGAAGCAGAGCCTTTAAAGTTATAGACATCATATAATAATCCTCTCGAATACACATAATTCTAACAATTATCACTATGAAGGTAGAACTCTATCTTTCCTATTTTAATTTTTATTTAAATTAATCAGATTTTATATTATTTTAAGTTTCAAAACTCTTCTTCATTAAGTTATAATTCTTTCAACTTTGTTTGAATTTGATGAATTAAATCATTTGTAACCACTTACAAAAGAATCACCAAGTAGAACTTTATTTCCACCTAATTCACATCTATTGAGGCACCAATGTCATCCTCACATCTACACTCAAATTTCACTTTTCAAGGAATTTTTAAATATATTTTATCTTTATTATTTAGTCTAATAATTATAAATAATTGTATTATTTATAAATTTTTTTGAAATATTACTTGACATTATATTACATGCTTCTAATTTATTTGAATTTTTTTTACTATTTTTGAAAAATTCTATCAAATTATAATTTATTTACTTGTTATGAAATATTTATAAAATTTTAAAAATTATTGTTTCCTAATTTCATAAATTTTAAATTTAAGTGATTTATTATACAACAATTAGGTCATGTCACCTCTCAACTAGGCTGAAGTTGAGAGAGTGATATTATGCTAAAAACACTCATTAACTACCTTAAAGTGAATATAGTTTAGGATCAAATGTCTTATTTTTGCATGTTATTATTTATAAAATAGCCAAATAATAACTATATAATGACTTTTTCAGACTTTTTAAAACTTTTCTTTCGATTTATTTTGATATATTTAAATCATGAAGATATTAAAATAATTTTGGGAAACATATATGCATTATTTCACACATTCTAGTGGCAGTTAACATATATGCATTATTTTGACATGCAGTTCATATTTGATGTTGTGGTACCATGATTATTTAATTAATGAAAATTTTATTTCAGTTGTAATTACAAATAATACAAGAAGATGTATACTATACAGAATGCGAGAATACAAGGTATCACATGTGAGTAGAAGGTGAGAAGATATGGATCGTCAGTCAATGATTGTTGTGACTCTTATTTTGGTCATTAAGGAGGTCTTGTCATTGTAAGTGGCAGTTAACAACGTCTCTTCCCCTTAACCCTCAGCTTTTAGTGTTTAGGAACATCTTGTCATCGTAAGCAGTGATTAAAGATGTCTCCTCTTAACTGTCACCTTTCAGTGGTCCTTTTGTGGCAAAGACACCCATTCAATAGCCTAGATTTCTCCATCTTCTAGGATTGATATCTAACCATTCCAAAAGTGATTTCAAGCCCACATTTTTTGGACACAATCTTCAAGATGTGCTCTTTACATCCCCAAGTTCGGATTGATAAATTAGCTTCAAGAAGTGCAAATGAAGGAGATGAGCTAAGGATATTTTGAGAAAAGACTAAGGATATTTTAGAAAATTTTACTACTTATATGTATTCTCTTCATCTCCTTTCCTTCTCATCTTTTTGGAAGGAGCCCCAACAATGGTTAGCCAGAGTGAAACAACTTTTCTTCTAAAGATCTATTCTTCTTTCCTTTTTGTGTAATCTTAAGTGATCAAGAGAGGCCTTAAGGGTAAAGTTGAGTGTTCAAGATTGAGTTGCAAGAAATAAACTATTAGGGATCAACCCATAGGAAGAAACTACCTTGGCCTTAGTGACAAATAGAGGCCCAAGTTGAGTAATATTTTTCCCTTTACTTACTTGTCTCCTTTCTGTCTTCCCTAGGGTGAAACCTAGGGTTTTATAAGTTCTTAGTAGTTAGATTATTTCTTTTCAACCTCGACCATCATTTCCTACTAAAATATTTTCATAACTTATTTTCTACAACCTCTAGGTTAACCTTGATCTAGGATTTCCATCATTACATCTCATTTCACCCATATTCCTCATCTCCCACTCATCTCTCATCTCTCTTTCTTTTGTTCATCTTCTAACCTATTTCTTCTCATTACTTAGGGCATCTTAAGATCATTAATTCTTTCTCCTTGTGATTCAACCCCTATCTTACCCTCTTTACTCATTAGATTGATTAGGATAGTGGAAATATAAATAGTTTTGCATAACCCCACTTAGGACCTACAACATCCCAAGTCTAGAGTTATCAAAGAGACCACATGAGATGTACATGAATGGAGGCAAGCATCTCACATGTGCAGCTCACACAACTATCACTTGGAGGACATGAACGAATAAGAACTTTATTGAGAGAGTCTCTAGGATCTAGAACAATCCATTTGGATCTACTAGAGATCTGAAGTAGATGGAAGAAGTCATTGAACGAGAACCAGATGTAGGGAGGATCATCTGATGGAAAATTATCTAGACACAACAAAGAAAAGAGAGGGAGGAAGAAAATAATATGGCAGAAGTTATTCCCCTCCCCCTCTACAAAAGGAGAGAACATTCCCTCAAGAGGAGAGAAGGAGAAAGTTAGAAAGAGAGAAGAAAAGAACCTATCGAATAAGAAAGAACATGAATCTCGCTCATGGGTGATGAACTAAATTTAAAGGTTACATATGTCATCATGATGCCATCAAGTTCATGCAAATAATATTTATAAAACCTCACTCTTTTGTTTAGGATAAGAGTCGATCCTCAAAGAGTATGGGTAATGAGAGTAAGAATTTTACTTAATTTTATTTCTTATATATATATACTTAAAATTGTGAAAGACGGAATTAAATGTAAAAGAGGTGAAGACAAGAGATATGAAAAGCTTGGCAAAGAGGAAAGAATTGAGTTCCTATATGTTGTTTGGAGTGCTTAAACGGATCCCTCCTTGGAGTTCCTGGATTAGCTCAAAGAGCGAAGTTCTTAGAGATCTCCTCTTCTCCCTCTTGGGTACCCCTCTCTTATGAACGGAATGCTTTCTCTCTCCTCTAGATGGCTCTTTATTCTCCCCTTGGTCGTGACCATTCTCAGCCCTTGGATCACGGGGGAGAGTGCACAGTCCTTGGATTAGATTTCTCTCTCCAAGGGCAGTCTAAGAGAGGTGGGCAACTGCTAGGATGTCTCCCCACCTTCCCTCACCCTACGACTTATCTCAGCCCTTGGATTAGGCTGATTGAGGGGCTGAGATAGTCCCAAGGGTTGTTTAATGAGGGAGAGAGGCATAGCTGATCAGATGGTGCCACATACCCCTCCCTCTAATTAAGAAAGAAATGAACCGCCCACCTTAAGTGGGCAGTTTCCTTAATTCGAGGGGAGAGAAAACGCCTCCTTCTTGTTGGAACTCTTCCTTAATTAATGTGGGCTGTCCAGCTGGCCCATGGGCCTACTTTGCCCTGAAACATAATATTAAAATAAAACCTGTTAGCCCTTAAACAAATAAATATAATAAATTAAGTATAAGGGAGAAATCAACATGGTAAATCTAAACTCATTTATACATGAGTTGACTTAGGGCTTAAGAGATGCATAATATATCTTAAAAATTATATGGATTATATTTCGTAATGTAAATAATCATGAGTCAAAGCACTGATATGAATTCCGAATTAATAGAAAATTTTAGAAAAATAGAAAAACCTTTAGAATATTCACTTGAACTTGAAATAAATCTTATAATACTCAGAAAAATTCGAAAAATCTCTTAAATTCAGTAAAATTACTTTGATGATATTAAATCATTAGAAAATATTCAATTCATAATTTAGACATAAAATGATATTTTATTTATAATTATTATTCAAGTGAATCATATAAATAAATAAATACACATGCTATATGAAAAATATGAAAAATTCACGAAAATATGAAAAACCTCACCTCGTTCAAGAATTGTTCCACGCCCTGCGAGGAGCTCTTCGCCAGTCTCTTCACCGCCACCTCCTGCTTTCCTTCCAGCCTCCCCTGCCGGCCCAGAATTAGAAAGTTAGAAAGATTGAAACTTCAAGTTCAACGAGGGATTAGTCAGTCGAAGAGGCGAGTTGGTTGACCTTGTAAACGGGACCGAAGCCGCCCTCGCCGAGCAGATTGTCGTTGGAAAATTGGTTGGTGGCCCCGGCGATGGCTGCAAGTTCGAACAAGGGGAGATCCAGCTCCCTCGACCTGCCCATCTTCTCCTTCCAGGCGTTACTCTTCACTATAGGGAAGTTTCCGAGCACCACTGTAGAATTGGACGGGACTATGATTATTTATCCATATCACGAGAGGGCAGGGGAGAGAGAGAGAGAGCTGAGAAAAGGGTTCTAACCTGTATTACTACTTTTCCGCCTCTCCCTGACAAACCTGGCGACTAACCCAACCAGGAGCATCCCTAAGAGGACCACCGCCGCAGCCAACACCACGGTCAATATCCATCTTCTCTTCCGCTTACTCGGTGACAAATCTGCAAGACATAGAGAACCTCTTTACCTCGAAGCTCAATTGACATTAATTAAATAACAGCACGCAGGGACCATCGTTTCACCCCGCTGATGATTGTAGTTTTCTCTAGTCGTACCGAGATCGGCACGTGCAAGACGGACGTACAGGCTCTGCTCGCCATCGGTGTAGACCCGGAGGTCTGTGAAGGTGCCACTCCACTGTATGCAGCGGCTCTCAATGGCACCGTCGTCAATAATATCCGCAATGGCGTAGGCCGTGCAGGAGCAATTCCTCAAGCATGCCTCCCTACACTCCCTGTCCCCATATTCTTCTTCACCACCACCACCGAGGTATCGGGAAGCTTCGTGTTAGTCACCAAGACTAATCCATCGGTGCCATTTGGCAGTCCACTGCCTTCCTACGCCTGCAACCGTCCTTGCCATCCCTGAGATTCCAGGTATCCGGCGAGTGGAGTCTCATTAGCGTCGCATACGCCGAAGCTCCCGCAGTAGCCAAATTCGTCGCAGCGGTCCCCGGGACCGGACCAGAAAACATTCCAATCGCCTTTGCTCTCTATCCAAACCCGGTGTTCTGTCACACCTTTGGGCTGCACCACCAGCCTTGACAGGACGGACTTAGACCGCCTGCTGAACAGGTAGTAGGCTTCGTCGGCGTTTGAGACGAAGGAGGAGTTGAACTCGACGTTGATCCACATCTCCGGGATGCCGCTGAATCCTTCTCCTATCCAGGGCCCCGACCTCCAGACCAGCTTTGTGCCCTTGAGTAAGAAGATCTGCGGATCCCCATTAGTGTCCAAGAAGGATGTGTAGTCCCCAGTGCCAGGGTCGTCGTCGGACTTCCATGAAGCGGCGTTTCTGGCAAACCCGGTCCGGGGGTCGGTCCACAACTTCATACCGGGGAGGAGGGAGTCCGTGGGGTGGTCAAAGCTCTGCCAGGCGTATCCACCTTCGCCAGCGCCGGCCACGACGAAGTTGGCGTTGTCCAGAAGCTTCGCAACTGGCCCAGCAAGTCTCGTCATCGGCGTCGACCAGTAGATTATTCCCTTTGAGTCGGAGAGAAAGAGGCTGCCGTTGGTGGGGATGGAGAGGACGCCCGTATTATCCTGTAGGGGGCTGTCACGGTTGGCCACCCAGACCACCGTCTGGTCAGAGATCTGGCTGTACCAGATACCAAGGTACCTGAACTTCGACTTCCCTGGCGCGAAGAATCCCAGCTTGAAGCTCCCATCGGAGGAGATTAGGGAACTGCCGTCTTCCAAGCGGCCACCGGGAACCAACGTGACTCTGGCCATGGAGAGGGCGATGAGGGTAGGGAAGAGGGCGGCGAGGAACAACACCTCCCGTCTGGCTTGAATTCCCCCCATGTTGATGCCCGTTCGGGCCGTCGGGCAGTCGGATCTTCCCCCTCCCTGTCTGACCGATTGAAGGATAAGAAGAGCAAAGTATTCTTCGGGATGGGTCAAACGGCGCCGGCGTTTGTCTCACAACGTTGGCCTCCTGAGGTAGACGACGACCAAGAGCCACACGTCTGTTTCCCTCTCCGTTCATCGTGCCCCTCTCGGAAAGTCCCTCTCAAAAAACCGCAGTTTGACTAGTAATATCTTCTACCTCGTTAATGTCTTTTAATGTTATTGGTGACAAGTCAGAATCGGGTGCCACATTAGTGGTGCCGGGCCAGCCTATTGAACCCAAGCTCCACTGATGGGGGGTGGATAAATGAAGAAGAAAATAGCAATTAAAGCCTATAAACAATGGCGAGATTAACGAAAGATTTAAAAGAGAATAATAAAAAATTAGTGAGGAACGATGACTTCCCTAGTAATAATTCTCTGAATTATCTTACCAAAATGTCAAGTTTTGTCTTTGTTTATGCTTTAGTTTTGTTAAAAAATAGACATTGATAACTTTCATAAAACGAAGTTATATACATTGGCATCGATTTTTTGATATTTTTTGACGATAAAAGTTAAATGTGATTGTGAGTTACGATGGTTAGATAAGAAATTTTAATATATAGAATTCTGGGATGATTTGAGATGTTTTCAAAAATTTCTGCAATTTTTAGGATTTTTTTTCCTAATATTAGGAATTTCTCAGAATTTAAGCATTTTTTTGGATTTTTCAGAAGTTTATTATGATAAAAATAAAATAATAAAAATAAAATAATAAAAATAAAAATATACATCCACGTACCATGCATTCAATGCATAGTCTCCACCATTGCTAGGTTTTGGTTTATTTGGTGGAATATCGTCTTAATATATATATGCCTGCAGTTTTCGAAAGGATTAAATGTTCGTAAGCTTTAGCTTGAATAGTTGACTATTAACCAACTTAGTTATGTGGAACCCTGTGAATCAAATGCTCAAAAAATGCAAGAAATTCCTGGAACCAACAGAAATTAATCAAAAAGTAGGAAAAATAAGGAAAAAAAAAGGAAAATGAAGAACAAAATAAATATTGATCCGAAAATTGTGATTTCCCTATGGATCCTTGTCCAATTGATCCAAAATTTGAAAGAAGCTTCATTACTTATTAATGCGTGATTCTACATACTAAAAATGTAAGTTTTAGTAGTATGAAAAGCCAAAAAAGAAAGAGAAATAGGAAGGAGGAAGAAGAGGTGAAAATGATGAATTGACAGTCGAATCAAGACAAGAGACTGTATTTTTAGATATGAGAAAGGATAGGAGATTCTGCTCCTCCTCTGGCAGATCTAGGGGAGCAAGGGCAGGTGGGAAGGATGCACTGAAGGCAAGGAAGAAGGTTGGAGAACAAGGGAAGGGGAAGGAGGATTTTAGAACTAATTAGCTGTGATCAATAGAGTTCTTTGTAATTTTAGTTTTTATTATTATTTTTATTTGATTGGGTGACAGACATTGATCAGAAAGAAGTTGTTCTTTTTTTTTTTAATCTATGTGATGTGTTCTTCTCATTTTCTTGGGCAATAACAAGGAAAGAAGAAACCTTTACTTTTGTTACAAGTTTTCATCATTAAAAAATTAATTAAAATTTGATTATAATTATTTGAGATCTATTTTCTTATCCTTGGCTGACAAACAAGGAAAAAAAAATTCAATTCAAAATTATAAGATTTAATTAAAATTTAATATGTTTATCAAAAGCTTTCTAAGTCTAATAGGACTACTATGTGACAAAGAGTTGAGTTTGATTTTTGTTGTATAATTTATTATTGATCAAAATTTAAATATTTTAGTTTTAACCTTGATTGAAAACCAAGGTAATTCTGTAGTTAATTTTTCTATTTTATTTTGGATTTTCACATTAAACATTTCAAAATATTTCCCACATCAATAGAAGTTATTCTATTTATAACCGCCCTTCTCATCTTTTTGTGTCATAGTTTATGAACTATTTTTCTCTATTTATGATTTAATCATCTCATCAGTAAAATCCTCCTTCATACTGTCTAAAGATGTTAAGAGAAATAAATATACAAAATTAATTGGAGAAGGAGGTTAATAAGTAATAAAGAGAAGGATTTATTGCTTATCTCATTCCATTTCATTTTATTCTTTTAAATTATTTTTTATGTCAAAAAAAATTAGAAATGCATTCAAAATAATTTTCACCATCCTCAAGGATCAACTTGAACTTTGATTGATACTGATAATTCATTCAGAAGATTCAACTATGAAAATTTTAAAAAAATTCAATGCATAAAGAAAATGATTGACGCATGATCAAATTTTTTATGCCATTTCTAAGGAAGGTAGTGATTAGTTTGATGCTAATTTCTACTTTTTAATGGGTAGTAAAGTTCTAATCATCTTTTTATTTTTTATTTTTTCAGAAATAAAGAAAAAAGAAAAGAAGAAGGTGCGACAAGAACAGCTAGTACAAGAAGTGTACTGGATGGGAAACTCAATGCATCAATATCATCATCTAATCTAATTTAATTAATTTTCTTTGAGTTATTTAATTTATTTTTTTATTACCATTGGTTTTACGTGCAAGATAGGAAATTGGTGATTCATGAATCTATTCCTAAAATAGACAAATGTCTACATCATAAGTTTAAAAATACTATGTTAGAAATGAATCATATTGGTGAAAAAGGATTGGTAGACGCACCTAAGAAATCAAAATATTATTTTAATCCTTCATCTTTTGTAGATTTTCTACGAAGTCCAGGATGTAAAGAAGATACTAGATCTAATATCTTCTAAATGCTGCATACTTTTTTATGAAAATTCAAATGAAGATCCATGTCAACACTTGAAAATTTTCATTAGAGTTTGGAATATAGTTCAAAGGGTTGATGATGATTTGAAACGTGTTCTATTCCCATTTTCATTAAAAAAGAGGCTAGTTATTGGCAATCTATATAAGAAAATGAGCTCAAAACATGGGTAGAAATTCAAGATGAATCTTTGAAGAAATATTATCCTAGAGGTAAAACTAATGAGATGAGAAAAGCAATTATGAGTTTTTATCAAGGTCCAAATGAAATTTTGCATAAGGCTTGGGAAAGATTAAAAAGTTTAATTAGAAAATGCTCTGGTTATGGAATCCCAATATGGTAGATAGCTCAAACATTTTATTATGGATTAACAGAATCTAATAGGCATATAGTAGATGCATCTTGCAATGGAACTTTTATGGAGTTAGAGGAAGATGAAGTTCATCAAATTTTATGGAGTTATGTCAAATTTTTGAACCATGCATCAGCATCTTCTCATGATAGAGGCATAGGCCTTCTTAAGAAAAATGAAATTTATGAAGTAGGAATACAAGATGAGATAAAAATAGAAATGAATGCTCTAAATAGGAAGTTAGAGAAATAAATGCTGGTTTTGTCTCAATAAAAAAATCAATTAATTGAAAATCATAAATATAACTAACTAATTTATCTTCCTTGTGTTCTCTTAGAAAACTCCTATAAAATTAAATATTTCTAAATTGGCTTGTCTTTCGGAATTTATAAATTTTAAATTTGTTTAACTTTCTCAACAACGACAAAAAAAAATTCAGACACCCTCTCTCTCTCTCTCTCTCTCCTTCTCTCCCTCTCTCCCTCCCTCTCTCTCATGCTCTCTGCATCTTAGCTGTATAGAGAGAGAGGGAGGTTGTAAGCAGGTTTACAGGTCACTTAAATTTGGGCGCTTCCAACTTTTAACATTAAACCTTCAACGATTTTAGGACCTCACTGATTGAATAAATACAAACTCGAAAAATTCTCGAACAAGCTGGATGAAAATGGAAGCCAAAATCAGACTACCGAAGCTCAGCGGCCGTGCACAGCGGAGATCGTGACGTCGTTGACGGTGCAGGTGGGCCCCTTGCTCGACGAGGAGTCCTCAGATCGCCCCCTCGCCACTACGAACTCCGGCTGCTTGGGGTGCGGTGGCGGCGTCCTGTCGCCACCGAGCATAAGAACCACCGCCGCCATCTCCGGCCGGTCCTCTGGCCGGTCCTGCACGCAAAGGAGGGCGATCTCTATGCCCTTGAGAACCTCCGCCATGGAAATGGGGTACCCCAGCGAGGAGTCCACCAGCTCCAGCCCTTTGCCTTCTTCCCACAGTCTCCATGCCTGCGAAGAACACCCACCCATGGTGAGATTAAAACTTATCGTCAAGCTCCTCCATGGCTGTTGGATAGATTTCCTTTCTCTCTCACTCTCTCTCTAGCTCGGTCGCTCACTTGATTTATACTTACATATGCCAGGAGGTTGAGATTGGGATCGGAGTGTAAGATGCCTCTGTTTTTCCTGCCGCTGATGATCTCGAGAACGAGGACACCGAAGCTGAAGACGTCGGACTTCACCGAGAAGGTCCCGTCCATGGCGTACTCGGGGGACATGTACCCGCTGCAACAAGTAGATCAGTAAGTTAGAGAGGAGAGAGAGAGATAGAGAAATAGAGGGCTGGCATGAACAGAAAGAGAGAGAGAAAGAGAGAGAGAGAGAGAGAAAGAGAGAGAGAGAGAGAGGTGGGTGGGGAGTCATTGAGAGGAGACTAACTAGGTGCCGACGACCCTTCGAGTTCTACCCTCGATCTCGTCTCCGGGGAAGATGTGGGCCAGGCCGAAGTCGGAGATCTTGGGGTTCATGCTGTTATCGAGGAGGACATTGCCAGCCTTGAGATCCCGATGGATGATCCTTAAGCGCGAGTCCTGGTGGAGGTAGAGCAGCCCCCGCGCAACCCCCATTATTATCCGCCACCGCGTCGCCCAGTCCAGTAGTGCCCCCTTGTTTTTGTCTGACACCATACGGGAGGGGGAGAGAGAGGGAGGGAGGGAGAGGGAAATCGATAGATAACAATCCAAGAGATCAGGACATAAAGAGAAAGTGGGAGAAGGGAGGAGAGGGGGTTTAGAGAGGGAGAGAGGGAAAAAGCGAGCGAGGGAGAAGGAAGCAGAGGGTGAGAGACTGACTGAAAATGAAGGAGTCCAGGCTTCCGTTGGGCATGTACTCGTAGAGGAGCATCCTCTCTTCCCCATCGACGCAACATCCGAGGAGGCGGACGAGGTTCCGGTGCTGAAGCTTCGCTATCAACCTCACCTCGTTCATGAATTGTTCCACGCCC